CACAATAACAAAGACTTTCTACCAGCACCTAATGATCAGAATATAAAAGAATCATCTGAAGGTGCTTTCTCGCACCCAATTAGGCAACGAACATTCAGAGTTAAAGCTAAGATCCTTTAAGGTTCTTTTTGATTTTACAGGACCTGGAACACCCTTCAGGCTAGGGGATCTCTGCTGATAAGCGCTAGGCCTGCTACTGATCCTACAACTGTTGGGCACATCCCTTGTAATAGAAGATATGAGAGAGAGCTTGTTCTTATATGGTGAGTTGCTTTCAGACTGAGTATCAAAACTTCCAGGCCTTAGCTTTGGCGAACTCATTGATCTTACCTTTGCCTTAGCAGATTGTGTAGCAGCCATGTAAGTTGGAACTACAGGAGAGGTAGAAAAAGAGTTGTCTTCTCCCAAAGAACACTGCTTTCTATGAAATGATCTTCGTGGAACCAGTAAGGGAGAATCCAATCCTTCCATATGATACTGTCTCGGAAAGGTCTTCGGTGTTATTTGTTTAGCTCTGTTTTCCTCTGTAGGCTTGGGATTTGAAGTCCAAACTGAGTCCAAGTCTTCAAGTTCTTTACTTTTACTGACTTGAGTATCCACCCATTGGTCTAACCAGTACTTTAATCTTCCATCACCCTTGTTCTGTTCTGATTCTGTTGACTTCTGCAATTTACTTTTCCAACTCCTTAGAACAATGCACTAGGTATATAAAAATTTCAAGACAGATATTTCAAGCCAAAGAGGTTTACCCGATGAACATACGAGTATTCCTTTATCCGCTCCCTTTTGATGGCAGCTTCTTTCTTGCTTAACACCATTGCGTCTGCCTCTTCCTTTGTCAAAATGCTATCATCCCATCTCTTTTGACTGTTTGTGTCCACCTGTAATTTTTTTGAACATTTTTTCCACTCCAATTAAATGGAGCCCTTCTCACATCAAGAAAGAAATTTAAACGGTATATACCTTAATAATCTTGTCTTTCAATGTTAGCAACTGTTTGTCATCATCAGACTGCCAAATGCCTTCTGCCATTTGGAATCTCCTTGCACAGACCTGAGACTGAATACTTACAATGGATTGTAAGCATTTTAGAGTATTCATTGCTTGTCGTCTCACAGCCCAGCCTCGTATGATTGCTTGAAGCATCACTATCCCCTTCAATGCCCGCAAAGCTTTCCTTGCCTACAAGTTTTCTCCGTAAGAACTTTAAAATCCAATATGAGTTAATCGACGGTGGAATTTGTATTCATAATAGTTAGTGTGATTTGTTTTGGAGAAACACTTCTGACTGAGACTACTCACTCAATAAAAGTGCATATGCAAATTTTGTTGTAATATAGTAATTCTTTTCCCAGCCAAACTCACACCTGAGTTTTCCTGATTTATCACAAGGAACTACAATGACAACTCACTGACAAACAACTAATAGGAAAGAAGGAAGTTCAGTAAGGATGCATAAAGAGAACTTACAAGGAAGCCCCGGAAGGTAGCCTGGATTTTAATGGCAGCAAGTTCTTGGATCTTCTTCCTCTCATGCTGATGAGCAGATGGAGAGGAACCAGGTTGAAAATTCACCAGGTATTCTTCTGGTTCTCCTTCACATTTATGGTTAGACTGAGGGGTACCAGTGAGCCGAACGACCTCGGCTGCTACCTTAGCAGCTGCAACAGCTGCTTCAGCAGCAGCTGCTGTGGCAATAGCCACAGTTAAAGCATGCTTGTCCTGGTCTTCATCTGCTTCACTTTTAGTCTTGTCTCTTGGTGGTGATGCAGCAGTGAGGGATGCCAACCTTTTGGTCCTAAACCTTCCAAACATCCATTTCCTTCTTTTCTCCTTCTGAGAAACAAAAAACATTCATCACAGCCATTCATACAGGGAAAAAGGAAAAATCAGTAAAGAGCAAACTTACCTTTTCTGTTGTTGAAAGTGTCTCAAAGAGAAAGAACCTCTTCACTAGATTGAACCAGCTCTTCTTCTTAGCCATTGAAGAACTACAACTTCAGGCAAAAGTTTAGTTATTTTCAGTAATTCGGAATCTTTTACAGTTCTTCAGCTTATCCTAAGCTAACCACAAAATCATTCTTGCAGAGAAAGGAAAAAAGCTGAAAAATGGAGGAAAGCTAGAACAGGAAGAAACACATATAGAGAATGAAGTATACTTTGCTCAATCATTTTGAAAGAAAGAACCAAAGTTTTTGAAAGCAATTAACAAAAAAGTCAAAAGAGATACTATAGTGGCAAAATCCATATGGATTGTGCACAAAAGTTGCTCTGAATTCTTACCCATTTCCTAGAATCCCGTGATTCGGAGAATCAAACAGGAATCACCGCTTCAAAAAGCTTTGGCTCTTGGGAACTTGGATATCTGAGATTGAGATAGGATTGCTGTGGAATTTAGATCAGCCATTCTTTATTGCACCGTATACCAAGAAAAGTGGTAGTGAAGGAATTGCCATCAGATATAACTTCAGCAATCCATATTTTTCCTTGAAAAACTGAAACCACAAACACCCAAAAGTCGGTTAAATTCATCAGTTGATTATCATCTCTAGCAATGCACAATTAGATATTTGTCCAATGATTCATATTTTTCCATCTTTTTCATGATGAGTTTCATCTGTTCAAAGTTGTGGGCCTCCCAAGAAGTCACTGTAGGTATTCATTTTTCATGGAGGAAACCTCTTCAATGAATTATGAGAAAGGCTTTTTCAGCTTCATGGGGCCTCTCCATCCTTTTCCAACCCTCCAGTTTTTCTCGAGTCCTAACAGACATTTGAACATGTCTGTTGGGAATGAAATTACTCAACTATCCTTCACTTAATTCTTTCTTGAGGAAGGAACATGGCAATGCAATAGCGGCAGGTGTGTGGTTTCACCTTGCTGCTTGTCAGAATTCTATTTAACTTCGGGGTCCAAGTGCAACCATATACCGTACTCCAATAAATCCTCAATTTTGCTATATAAAATGAATTTGATAGAGAAAGTAGCTAGGATTTCTTATAGTGCTGTTGCTTGCATTTTGCAGGATATGTGATCTCAAGGCTGTAGAGTGGGACCAATCACACCTTCCCATTCACCAAATATTTGAGGCATTGAAGTTCTGATATCCATATTTTCAGCTTACCCCTTATCTTCCCCTCCAATTCATTATGGCGAAACTTCAAGACATATCCAAGTACTTTGGCTTGAAACCATGAACCACCTGACAGATTGTCCAGATTAACACCTTGGGTTTTTGCATTACTCTTGATAAGAGTAAGGCAATGATAACCTTTACCTTTGCCCTCAAGGTAACGTTATCATTCTTTTTAAGAAGAATATGGACCATTCCTTAAAACCAAGTACTACACTGAGATACTATTATGCGCACACCAACATATATACACATGCATATACTGCCATTATTGAGGGCAGTGGGGATGGGGAAGAGAGAGAGAGAGAGAGTGTCATTGTTCTCAATGGGCAAGGATGAGAGATTTTAGGAGAAGAAAACAAAGCAGCCTTGAGTTGTGGAGGGGAATGACAGCTGTGAAAGGGCCCAAACTTGAAAGAATGAATAGTCACAAATCATCATACAAGCTTATAGTCTCATATCCAGCTTTTATAAAAGAACAAGAATAATTCTCTTTCCTTTTCAGAACACCAAAACCCCCCCTGAGTCTCTGACTCTAACTACAAACTATGAATTATTTCTTAGGTTTGTAGTCATATTAAGGAAAAGAAAAGAGATATATTTAAGGTGTTACAGATGCACATGAGTCAAGTTTTGTTAATTATAATCGAATGGGTAAAGATATAAGAATTTTGGTTAATCAAGGCAATTATGTGTGCAATCACAGGATAATAAAGTCAAAACGCCTCCAATAATGATGAATTAGTTATGCATAATTCATAGTTTATTCTAGACTTGTTGTTTTCAGAAGGCAGTTATGCAGATGTAGAGAAGAACTTAATTAGTTGTAATATCTCTGGCAATTACAAACTAGCAGCTTCAGCTAGAAGCTCAAACTGAAGATCTAGAAAAGTTATGAACATGCTAAAATGACCATCACTAGCCCTTTGACTACATTTTTTACGTACTGTCTAATTA